AATTTTCTCCATATTTTACTGTAGAAGAATTAGTACTGTATCTCATTTGGCTATAGAAATCGCTTACCCTTATATACAATTTGCTCCAAGTAATCTTGTTCTGCTTCTCGAGTACAATCCCTCTATGGGTCATCGATGGTACAAAACTTTGTTGTGGATGTCAAAATGTTCCCAAAGTATAAGATGTACAATCAGGGACATCCAAGTCGTTCCATGACTGGTCCACTCACAAAATCTAAAAACACACCACACACTTACACATGTGTGTCCCTATTACATGCCTATAATTTGTTTAGTGTAGAAGAATTAGTACTATATCCCATTTGGCTAAAGAAATCACTTACCCTTATATATGGTTTGCTTCAAGTAATCTTGTTACGCTTCTGGAGCAAGCTCTTTGGGTCATCCATAGTACAAAATCTTGCTGTAGATGTCGAAATGTTACCGTCAAGTATAAGATGTACAATCCGGGACACCTAAGTCGTTTCATGGCCACTCACAAAATCTAAAAATACACCACATAATTACACGTACATCCATGTGTCCCTATTACATGCCTATAATTTTCTTCATATTTTACTGTAGAAGAATTAGTACTGTATCTCATTTGGCTATAGAAACCGCTTACCCTTATATACAATTTGCTCCAAGTAATCTTGTTCTGCTTCTCGAGCACAATCCCTCTATGGGTCATTGATGGTATAAAACTTTGTTGTGGATGTCAAAATGTTACCAAAGTATAAGATGTACAATCAAGGACATCCAAGTCGTTCCATGACTGGTCCACTCACAAAATCTAAAAACACACCACACACTTACACATCCGTGTGTCCCTATTACATGCCTATAATTTGTTTAGTGTAGAAGAATTAGTAATATATCTCATTTGGTTAAAGAAACCGCTTACCCTTATATATGGTTTGCTTCAAGTGATCTTGTTATGCTTCTGGAGCAAGCTCTTTGGGTCATCCATAGCACAAAATTTTGCTGTAGATGTCGAAATGTTACCATCAAGTATTAGATGTACAGGGACACCTAAGTCGTTTCATGGCCACTCACAAAATCTAAAAATACACCACATAATTACACGTACATCCATGTGTCCCTATTACATGCCTATAATTTTCTTCATATTTTATTGTAGAAGAATTAGTGATGTATCTCATTTGACTATAGAAACCACTTACCCTTATATACAATTTGCTCCAAGTAATCTTGTTCTGTTTCTCGAGCACAATCCCTCTATGGGTCATCGATGGTACAAAACTTTGTTGTGGATGTCGAAATGTTACCAAAGTATAAGATGTACAATCAAGGACATCCAAGTCGTTCCATGACTGGTCCACTCACAAAATCTAAAAATACACCACACACTTACACATCCGTGTGTCCCTATTACATACCTGTAATTTTATACAAATTTTAATGTAGAAAAATAGTACTATATCTTATTTGGCTAAATAAGGAACCGCTTACCTTTACATATAATTTCCTTAGTAATCATGTTATGCTTCTAGAGCACAAGTCCATCGATGGTACAAAACTTTATTGTGGGTGTCAAAATGTTACTGAAGTATAAGATGTATAATCAGGGGCACATACCGAAGCCGTTTCATGATTGATCCACACACAAAATATAAAATTCTAGTAGCTTTTTTTTTAACGAAAACCACAATCTAACATATGGATTATATGCCAATCTTTTATCCTACTTTGTAAAAGGTAACTTAACATGAGGAAAAAAATACATGATGCTTATACGTTTATAAAAGGTCAAAGATCCTTTTTTTTTCTTTTGTTCGCAGAAAAGAAACATGCTATGTCCACTTTTTTCATTTTTTTTAATTCAATTCGACCTTTGGACTTTCTTGTACCATAGTGGCATGGTATACGAGATCGATCGACTTTGTGACACGCGACATTATTAGATCAACAGCTGACCATCTTTACGATTTTATTTGTATTTGTACTTGCAGACTTGAGGTACTGATGTGTGTATCTACTGTACTATGATAGGTGCGTGAAGAGAACAATTTATGCAATTGTCAAGTGCATGACGATATCCGTGTCAATGCAAGAGTCCAGCTGTTTGTTAATTGATTAATTTTAGGATGGATATTCTATTAGGCACCTACAACGGCAAGAGCTGGTTAGCAACTGGCTCTAAGTCAATCTCTCTAATAATGTTAGCTTTTAATAATAACTCATAATAAGATTAGGTCCACATGAGATTACTCTCACATGATCTTAGGATATGGGTAAGAGTCCAGCTCTTGATCGAGCTACCTTATCTCTCTTCTATTAAAATATAGAATAAAATGTTTAGAGCTGAAATTCTAAAAGAAAAAATACTTAGAGCTAAGCAGCTCTTGTGCATACGAGAAACGAACCGAGGGGAGAGAGAAACACATGAGAGATCGATTTCTACACTTGAGCAATCGAACCGTGCCAAAAGAGTCTCTAGTTCGACACAAGAGCAGTTAAATATTATTATACTTTTCTCGCATGCTCCCATGCAGAATTTGGAGTAAGGTAGGACGAAAAACTCGAAGCTGGTTAGCTCGCTCGGCTCATGGCTGGCTCGACTCGGCTCGAGCCGAGTTAAGATTTTAGCTCGTTAGCTATAACAAGCCAGTTCACGAGCTAAACGAGCCAAACTTCTAGGAAAAAAAGTATCAAAACTTATCTTAATTTTTGTATTACTTCATGTCTTGTACTTTACAATTGACTGGTAACTGGTATAGACTCTATAAATTGACTGGTAACTAGTCTAGATGCATTTCTTTTGTATTATTATTATTCTCAAACTTTAGATAAATGCAAATATTATATTTTGTGTATTTTTTTATACCAGGCTCGCGAGCTTAATGAGCCAGCTCGAACTTTTAACGAGCCTGCTTTCTGGCTCGTTAGGATAAAGAGCCGAGCTAGCTCCGAGCTAGCTCGTTATCTTAACGAGCCAGAATGAGCCGAGTCAGCTCGTTATCCAGCCTTAATTCGGAGCAATGCTCTGGTTTCTATTTGTTTATGGTTTCGTATGAGCTTCACAGACAAAAAGCGAACCTTACACTGGAGCTGTGTTCCCTTCGCTCGCAAGCAAAGCTTAGATTATTTATGTGGCTTATAAGTTGGCTGATGTTGTTTTATTATGAGAGACAAACACTATATAATAGCGGATAAACACAGGTGCAAAAATTAGATGGTGCCTTCGTGGCCTGACACATGCGGCTTGGTTCGACGTGACACTTTGTTGGAGCTGCCCTTAGTACCGAAAATTTCCTACTACGTACCTCGACTCTACGGGCTACGTTGAATTGTTGACGTAGCAATTGAATTGAGTGGTCTGAAAACCTTGAGTACCTAGTAGAGAGGTCGTCTCGTCTGCATGCAGTCTGAATTCTGATACTTTCTGCGGCCGTACGTGCAACTCGTCGTGCCACCACTTTTTTCATGGCGTCAAGCATCGACGCCTTTTCTCGTCGTACTTCTGGCAAGGTCATATGAGCCCTTTTCAAACGTGCTCTACTTCAGTTGCGCTAGAGATGGTTCGTTTTTAATTGGTTTCTCTCTTTGAAAACAAAACATGGGATGGAGAATTTTGTTCGCAGAATAAGATTTTGCGTAGAATTTGAAGCTCTGGTACAGCAATACCATTGTACTAGTTGAGACTATCCAAACGTTGTATTTGACCATCTGCAACATACGAGTACATCGAAATTATTTGTCCTGGGCAGACTAGGATCTCATATCCGTAATCAATCTCACAACAATGTGGAGCAATCTCACAATGTGGAGCAAACCTGCTAGTTATCTACTCCCTCCGTTCCAAATTATAAGTCGCTTTAACTTTTTTGGTTCATTCATTTTGCTATATATCTAGATATAATATTATATCTAGGTGTATAGTAAAATAAATGTATCAGAAAAGTCAAAACGACTTGTAATTTGGAACGGAGAGAGTAACTGACTCCAATCCTTTTCTCCGTATACTTTTTCTTAAACAAAAAATCGATGAAGCATCGCTGACACCAATCAACTCTTGTTGACCTTAAGAGAATTTAGGCCCCGTTCGCTGGTCTGAAACTTGGCTGAAAACACTGTTCCAGCTGGTTTGTTGTGAGAGAAAAACACTGTTCGGCTGGTTTGGTGAATAGTAAACTGTGAGGAGGATCAGCCGGCTGGCTGGATGAATCAAGACCAGCAAACTGCCCATTAGCACCTTGTATCCCAGTATTTAAAAAATATTTGCGACTTGCATCAAGGAGAGAATGGTCAGGCTGCCTACGCTAGCATCGAGTAGTAAGCATTAAAGAAATTGGCAGCGGATGCTAGTCTCCCAGCAGTATCTAACCTTCACTAACCTCCAAGCTACAGCACATAGCCATACAGGCTTCTTTCAAAGTGGATAACATTTGCATGAATAAACTAGGTCTACCAAAGTTTGGCTGGATTCACAATCCAACAGAACTCACCCACGTAGACGTAGAAGAAAATGCAGAGAGCAACACGCTGTTCCACAATTCAAAACAGGGTTCCCTCAAAAAAAAACAATTCAAAACAGGACTACAATTCAAAACAAGAATTTAAGATCATGTCCATGTATGGTCAACTGTTCTTTCAAGAGAATTGTCTCATAGAAGTAGACAACAGCAAAGTAGATGACAAACATGACCAAAGGACAGTTTATATACTGTATATATCTGGTGTACAACAGAGGAAAGATAGGTCTCAAGAAAAAAAACAGAGGAATTGATAGGAGGCCTTTTAGCTGCTGGTTTCTACGGGATAAGGATATTTCCATATGATTTAAGAACATATGACTTTAACCACTTCTGCGTAAACAGAACCATTGCCTCAACACTTAACAGGACTCATCATTTGCCATCTTTTACTTAATCAGAAGCTGGCTCTCATTCAATTTTCAACCCTTAGTTCGTACAACCCTGTTAACCTAATAAGAGTCAATAATGTTCAGCCAATAAACTGCTTGTTTCTTCCCACTATCTGAAGAGAATAAATATGGCCTGCTCGATGTCAACTAGAACTGTTTTCACTTCAAAGCATTTATCCAAAATGGCTTCCAAAAAGAATGCAACAGTGCTGTTGCGGGGTTAAAAAAAAGTTAACATCTGAAAAAATGTCAACTAGAACTTTTTTACATTTGTAAGCATCTTGACTTTGAAGGATTGCAATAGGAGGGGCAAGCTCACACAATTGTCGCATTGTACTTACAATGCTACTGAAGCATTTCATTTTCCGTAATTTTCCATAGCGATCAAATTAAAGAAATGCCCACATGCAATTGAAAACTGGGAATATCAGTAAGTCCAAGCTTTGAAAAAAAGGAATTTGTTAAGGTATCATCACAGTAGTTTGTGCAGCCATATAACCCTTATAATAATGGCGCAGGTCAATGCTTTCATCCATTTAGGCTGCATCACATAAAAAGTAAGATTGGTTCCTTGCAGTTAAGATATTAAAGCTAAGACCTCATTGGCTCTTTGCTATTGACGTGGATTATTTATATGTAGTCGAGAATGACAAATGGGTGTTAAACATTTGAGGAATCAACTTATAACCACAGCATCAGAGTAGAAAACAGCTAAGATCTCATTGGACCCATTTCTTGGAAGCCTCTTTATTGTTCTTCAATAATGCTAAAAGGTCAAACCATCTTCACACGGTCCATGTGCTTATCTAAAAGCCGCCATGGGAATGAAAAATTAAATAAAGAGTAAATTTTACTAGCGGTCCTCGAACTTGTCCCGAGTTCTCATCTAGATCTCGGTACTTTCAAATTGCACATTTAGCTCCCTAAACTTGTCATAGGTTCTCATTCAGGTCCTGGTACTTTTAAATTGCGCATTTAGCTCTCTAAACTTGTCCCAAGTTCTCATACAGGTCCCGATACTTTTAAATTACACATTCAAGTCCCCAAAGTTGAAGGGCGGATGCCACAATGAGGTGGAGCAGGAGCAAGTCAAGCGGAATCGAGGAGGGCCATAGCGGCGAAGGTTTGGCTAGGACGTGTGGTAGGGCAAACACAACAAGGATGGCCAAGCCGCGAAGCAGGTCCTAGGAAGCTAGTTGTGCACATGAAACGCATTGTGTGGGGAGGGGATGGACCGGAATGGTACAATAATACATTTTGGGGGAGTTGGTCATGTATTTTTGAAGTACTAGGACTGGGATGAGAACTTATGACAAGTTTAGGGAGCTAAATGCGTAATTCGGGATCTGGATAAGAACTTGAGACAAGCTTAGGGAGCTAAATGCGCAATTTAAAAGTTCCGGGACTTGGATGAGAACTCGGAACAAGTTTAGGGAGTTGATGTGCAATTTGAATGTACCGGGACCTAGATAAGAACTCGGGACAAGTTCGAGGACCACCAGTGAAATTTACTCTTAAATAAAAAAGAACAGAGAAAGAACTGGTTCCGTAGGGGAAACGACACAAAGTTGAAATGAATCAGTCAAAAGTTCAGAACACACAACAGAGAAGTTAAAAATGCATGTTCGCTTTTGAAGTATTGCTGGAACGAAATCACCAAACTTAATTTCTATCATTTGACGTGGTAAACAGAGACAAGAAGAATGCGAAAGGAAAACAAAGAAATGTAAAATGTCCTAAAAACCCTGGTCCCCTTTTCACCCTGTATCATAGGCTCTTGTTTCTGCCAATATTTTCATGTTGGCACAGTAAAAAAAATCGTGTGTTTACACTTGTCCACACATTTTGGAGAAGAATGCTGACTATCGTGTTCCAATTAACTCGTTTGTACGACCTGTCATACTCATCTTCATTTCACTGTAAAGATAATGTCTCTATTTCTGAATATTCTAATTGCTGGTGTATTATTGTTGTATCGGTAGTGATGTAAATGATGAACACAACCAATCAAATCACAAGATCCCACATCTAGTTGAAGAAAATCACAATTCATCCGTATGGTGAACTGATTTAAAATCCCACTAAACAAAAATACAAAATTACAAACACATAACCTGCAGAAACACGGAAAACCTAGGAGGGCAAAAGAGAAGAGTATAACAAACTTTATGTACCTCAGCAAATTTGCAAAAAAAGGGAAAAGATTTTCCTAGCTGAGTACATTATGGACCCTCCTCCAGACGATTTCTTTGAATGTTGGCCAACCCGAGATAAATTTTTTAGCACACTTAGCTGTCCTCACAAGTCACAAAGAAAGGATGTCAATGGTATTGTCATTTTCATGTCCTCCCTCGGGATTACTTTCGTCCAGGGTTAGTTTTTCTCAACAGCTCAACTTGTCTAAGGTTGCAAGTTGTGTTACCGAAGTCAGAGAGAGGTACACTCACCAGGATAGGAAGATTTGGTTTCACTGTCTGTGACGGGATCCATAGGTGAATTCTGAGGAGTGCAGATGACAACATTAATTCTGAATTTCTGAATTCTGATGCACAAATGGCAACAGAGTTCGCAGCCTAGCCTAAGGGATGTGACTTGTGAGTGTGGCACTACTGGAGTCTGTAAGCCCTACCCCTCGCTCAAACTGGTGCTACTCATCACAGCAGAGCGATAAGGGAGCTCAAAACCTGAACGATCAAACAGAAAAACGCCAGAAGGAAAGGAATTCTAGCAGGGACAGAGGTTGAAAACGGAAGTCCACTGCACTGACGGGGGAAGAAGACGATGAGGCTGAGTGGCTGACCTGACCAGATGTCCTTTGCCGCCGGCGCTGTGCGATGCGATGCGCGCGGGCGCCAGGGCAGAGGACGTGTGCTCTGCTGGGTTTGCCGGCGAAAGGAGGGAGGTGCACCTTTGCACTTTGCAGGAAGCCAGGAGACTCTAGCAGCTTCTCGTCCCACCGGCTGGGCTCACCGTGGGCCGGGCCGTTTTGCCAATGCCATTGCCAAATTTGAGGCTCCCGCACGCACCGAAGCTGCCCGAGCTTTCATCAAACAGTGAATGCAGGAGAGAAAGCCACATGTATGCAAGTATTTCGTGAACAGTTTGGCAAAAGCACACCACAGTTCCAGTTCCACCAGGCAGACATTCATCAGGGGGTTAACGAAGAGTCGCAGACTACATGTAATCTCATGTATGCAAGTATTTCGTGAACAAAGGCCTGCCCCTTCCCGGCAGCCCAAAGCATTTGTCAGTTGCGCCCTACTAACAGTAGAATCAAGGAGCAGATTCACAGGAGGCGTTCGCAACCTACACAACCGCCGCTGCCTCCTTCCGTGTCAGAACTGAGATTTGTTGCCCAAAACATGGACCCCACGCCCCGTGAAACTCTAGACAGCTGACAAATTCTGGATAGAATGTAGTGCTACCTGCCTGCTTAACTACAGAAGAAACGAAAGGAGTAAAACCCAAAAGGGGCATCCATCAACTAACCACACCTGAGATTACCCCGCCAAACAATACCAACAAGTCCATCCCTTAGGTGTGAGTTGTAGCCATTTTGCTGTAGTTCACCAACAAGTTCATCACCTTCGCCATTCGTACTCAGATGTGGACTGAGGCCTGCTGTATGACCGTGACTCCTCAGGTTTGATTGAACTTGTGAATGTACTCCAGCCCATGAGGTGTGGTATGATGTACTGCAAAGGTGATAGATAATAAGGTATTATTCTCTTGAATGGATGCGAATGTTGCATGCTATTTATCTAAAAGATGAAAGGGTAAATGTTTGCCCAACTGTTTTTATTAAATATGACTATGATGAAAAGGAATGGCTTCATTGTTTAATGTTTCAGAAATAACCTAAGCTTTAGAAATTCAACATTCACATAAGGGTGGGATGGCTATGTTAACCAAAAATAAGTGGAATGAATAAGAGAGTATTGGAATAAAGATTGATGACATAAATCATGTAACATGTTAATATTTGCAGGACAATGTAAGTAGCAGTGTAGAACCGAGAGTCAAGCGCAAAGTAATCATCCAACTAGAACTCATGTAGTCTGTTCAAACTATAACAACAAAAACAGGGTAGTTGCAAAGAAGAACCTGTAGAAAGATTGATGATAAGACAGGACATGCTACTTACATTGAAAGTTGATACAATGACAGCAAACTCTCCCTTGGTTATAGGGATGTAAATGCTCTCATCAACGTTGATAAGTCGGTTCTGGACACCTAGCAGCAAGAAATGATTACCAGGATCAATCTGTGAGCATAGATCGATGAAACCAAAATCTGTAACAATGAGTTGGCAACTACATACTGAGGTTGAAAAAACGACCATTGCCATCTGGTGTTGGCTCAACCTTTAGAACCTTACGCACTTTACCTTCTTCACTGTTTATATCAAAAGATGAAATGACAATGTGGTTAATAATTTATTGATGCACAGTACCAAGGTTGAATGTGCATGAAGCAATAAATAATGGAAGAAAAATATAAAACACAATGTTTAAGGATGTAAAAATGCTTATAAAGTCTAGATATATGATGCTATAGACAATGTGACTGAGGATTATGGAACCCTCACTGAGCAATCTTGATTAGAGATGTTGGATGGATGAAATCAAGATTACATTAGCTAGCAAGATTTTGTGTGTTGATTGTTGAAATAAAAATACAGTTGAAACAAATCCCCTCTGTTGCTAACTGTAACAAAACGAGGGGCAAGAATGCCTTCCCCAGTTGCCATTCCTTTTAAAACTTAAGATGAAACAAATAGAGTTGATAAGCAACAATGACAAGTCCTTAAACCAGATTGGCACAAACAGTATGAAAGAAGTTTGATGACGATATAATTGCATTCTTACACAACTGGACAGGCAACAAAAGAAAATAATATATGCTGCAACTGACTAGGAGAATAACAAGCTGCATAACATGATCATGTACGTTTGTGGCATCTTTTCTGGAAACCTCAGAGCTAGACAACAATAGGGGGAGACTCACTAGGAGAACTCAGGTAATCAGATACATTAAATGATACCAACCTCCGGCCCTTGAAAGGGTCATGAAAGAACTCGCATGAATCTGTTGGACCAAGAGTAAGCAGGGTTCCTATCTCCCACACAGATAATGAGAACACCTGCATAGCATAGCATTGAATTACATCGAACAAGTTAGTGTAAGAACATTAGATGGATACAAAGAACCAGCAGGCTAATCGCAAAATTGACAAAAACATATAGCAGGCAAAATATAGGAAGCAGGAAAGGTCACATAGGATCCGAATGAATAGAACCCATGGGTCATAATACATGCCATTGCTTCCATGGTCTGAGTGACGAAGCAGTAACTATCCTTCCTGGTTCAGCTTACAAAGAAGCAACAATGCAGCCAGTTGAAAACTGAGCGTCTAAATTGCTATAACATTTATTTTCAGCAAAAGAAAAGCAAGCTGAATTTCTAGCTACGCTACAAATATCGGCTCTTCTCTTCCCATACCCGATGAACTTGATCAAATTGGTGAGCCGGGTATCAAAAAAAAAAAAAGATAAGTTGAAACCAAAACCTGAGGTAATTGGAGCATACCTGCTTGCGCGTCCAGTCGTACTGTCGTGTGGCCACGGCGGGCGCGAACTGCAGCAGCACGAAGCCCTCCTTAGCCACCTTGTACGCCCCAGACTACAATAACTCGCACACGCAGCATCCGTTAGCGCAATACGCGTAGGGAACAATGACGGAAACAACGGGGCCCCCATCCTCCTCTACCTACATCGAGCGGCACGAACTGCGGCGGCCTGGGGTCGAATGAGAGTGCGGCCTTGCCCTTGTAGATGCTGTAGCTGGTGAAGACCCTCCCGTCCTGCGCGCCGTTGGGGGCGCGCCCGTACCCGCCGTCCCCGCGCGGCGGCGGCGGGGCCCGGGGGTCGAAGTAGTCGGAGTGGCGCGGGGACGCGACGGGGCACGCGGGGAGCGCGGCGGCGGACTTCCTGGAGGAGGCAACGGGCGGGGCTAGTAGGGTCAGGGCGTGCGGGGACCTGGGGTGGTGGTGTACGGGCAGGAGCGCAGTCGGCGGTGGCGGCGAGGCGAGCGAGAGGAAGAGCGGCGCCGGCGGTGGCATTGCGCCGAACGGGCTGGGGGCGAGAAGACACGCGGCTCAGACCGTCAGACGGGTGGGCGGTGCCAAGGGGTTTATCCTGTGCTGGCTCTGTGCTCTGTGGATGGACCGGTCGGGGCCGTCAAGTTATCGGCTTTGGGCCTATGCTGACATGGGCCTACCTCACTGTGAGCAAAGCGGGCAGCCCTCAAGCCCGTGAGAGCATGGACCCACATCCACAGACCCACTTGACAGCGAGAGTCGTCGATGCCACTGCTCTAGCGCCATTATTTGGGCCTGTCTATCTATCCGTTTTCTGTGATGATTACTGCACTGTTTTTTTTCGGGAATTGCTGCACTGTTTCTCAAGGGAAAGGTCATTCTCATCTTTCTGAAAGAGAGTCCAAGTTTCTATTAAGCGCTCCTTTGATGGGGCTCCAGACTTTTGGAGAAACGTTTTAATTTTTTATTCTTTTGGAGAAAAGTTTCTTAGACAAACATAATCACTTGCTAGAACCATTTGTCTGTCTAGATTTTGATTATGAAGAGAGGAGAATGTGGTTGAATAGATCCAAGTGCTCTTAGGCCCTCCATAATGTATCGCTTGAGTGATGCCCAAAAGAAGAGAGAAGATTCTGGCGTCGCTCCCCCCATTGCATCAAGCGAAGCCAACTCAACTGCGCAACTACTTGCACCAGTGCCCGCCTGTGGGGGTATGGCCCCCGGTATCCATAAGACAAGACATGGGCCGCACCATCAGAGGTGGCCCAACCCACAAGATCAAGGTGTGCACGACGCTGCTCGGCGTGCACCGCAAGCTATTGTATAGTACCAAATATGATACTTTTCTTGTAACCCTACCCCTCCAGAGTATATAAGGAGAGGCAGGGGTCCTTTTATGGACAGATCGATACACTACACCTCAATACAATACACCAAAGACATAGGACGTAGGGTATTACGTCGATCAGACGGCCCGAACCTGTCTAAATCGCTGTCTTTGCGCCTTGTGTCACCATCCGGTTCCTATCACGCGCACCTCCACCGATCAATCTACCTTCGTGGGATACCCCTCGGAGGACTGCCGAGCATCTTTTGTCGACACCGCCGATGCCAAAACCATGAAATAGTATTTTCTTTGTCAACCATTCACCGAGACTCCTCGTCACTGGCTCCGTCTTCCATCTCACTACTACAGGAAATTTATTGGAGTAGAAAGGTCACGGTAAATTGATCTTTCCTGAGGCGGTTCAAATGCCCGCCTCGGTAAATCCAATAAAATAAACAAAAAAAGAAAATCCATAGACAAGCCCAGCGAGGCCATCCATGGGCCCTCCGAGCCCATCCACGCACCGTCATCATCGTCGGTAGATCCGGTAACGTCGGCCCTCGATCCGCCACCGGGGGGTGCCACCGCCCTAGATCTGCAGCCAGTGGACAGGCCCGCACTGGATCCGCCGTGGGGGAGCACGCCCGCCCTGAATTCGCCGCCTGGGGTGCGGCCCACCTAGATCCGTCGCCGTAGGGCGGGCACCGGGGGTGGGGGCCGCCCCATGCGACGTCGCCGTGGAAGAGGGGCCCACGAGGGCCGAGGAAGAGGGACCCGCGAACGTTGAGGAAGAGGGGCCACCACCACGCGCCGCCTAGAAACGGCCCCCTGCTCCTGCTGCCACCGCGCACCGCCGCCGAGAGCTGGCGCCCTGCGCGCCGCCTAGAGAGGACAGAACGAGAGATGGAGGGGATCACGAGAAAGAGCAGAGAACGAGAGGGAGGTGGGTCGGGGTGCATTGAGTGGCGACCGAGAGAAAGAGAACAAGAGAGACATAATGACTGGGAATTAGGGTTTGCTCAGTTATATACGTGAAAGAGTAACCGGATCGGATTGGGCCGCCGGTGGGCTCAGCCTTATTAACGGATGCAGGCCTCTTTAGAGGTCCCGCCTCTAAAAATGGCCTGACTATTTTAGGAGGCAGTTATTTTTTACCGCCTCCGTAAATCGATTTTACGAGGCGAGCAATTTTAATCGCCTCCGTAAATAAAAACGACAACCTCCGTTAATCGTCAGGCATTTTATGAGGCGGTTGGATTGTATGACCACCTCAGAGCTACAAATCCAAACACCTCGTAAAAGTTTTTGTGTAGTAGTATCTTTGGTTCCATCGCTGTAGCTCGCAAACCCCGGTGGCGATGATGGTGCCTTGCCTGCTCTCCTCAAACAAGCTCTGCCTCGTCTCCCCAGCAATGCGATGACGTTTTGTGGCTTGTATCCACAGCAACTGCCTTCTCCTACTCATCCCTACTCACGGCTATTCTCTCGTCCGCCCCGCCTCCTCTTGCGCCCCACCTCCTTCCGATGCCGCCTGATTTGAGCAAAGAAGCATCTAGAGATGCAAGATCTAAGAAGGGAAGACCTTAATTTAGGAGCATGAAAATCGATTTGGAGGATTTTGCTTCCTCTTCGCTTCAGGAGGAACGAGAGTAGGAGGGGATTTTTTCCCAGCGCGAGTGAAACGAATGGTGGGGAAGACAATCAATACTTTATTGCACTGTAGGTCCCATGAACTAAAATAGCACCGATTCATAACTATTTTCACACTGCAGATGCTTGGTTTGCTGTACCTGGACCCACAAGTTTTTCTGGCTTCACTTCCACGACCCACATATTTTTCTGGCTTCACTTCCACATTGTGGAGGGCCTTAACATGTGATGAGTTTTTTCTTGAGTTATTACAGGGAAAATAATCATTTGCAGATTGGTGATTTTTTAGAATTTATCATAGCCAATATGTATCTATAAAAACATATTATAGATTTTATACAAATGGTTCTTAAGAAAATAAAGCATCTACAGATAGGTGGTGGTTCTTGCCAGACACCAGCCGATTGGATAAGCCAGCTGGATGGTAATCCATGTAATTACCAGCAAAAGAAAGGATCCATGGAAGAGGTGGAGAAGAGATCGAGAATTGCTGCGAAACCAGCAAAAGGCCGTTTCGAGGTTTGACTTGCAAAAAGTGAAATGCTTCGGGTCTGAGTCTTTGGCAGGTAAACCTATTTGGAAGTGATTCTTCTGATTCTCCTGAGAAATAGAACCATTTTACTACCTGTGTCGTTAGTCCGTTGTCGGATTGCTCAATAATTTATCTTTCTTAAAAAAGTATTTCAGGATAAAGTTGTCCACATATATTCTTTTTCAAAAAATTATTGAAAATTTTCAATATTACTTTGTAGAAAAAAGGAAAATAAAAAACAAACGTCAACTATCCTACCGCTGCCACCACACCTAGTAAAACCCTCGAGATGTCATCTATAGGGAAGGGAAATATCAAAGAGGATGGCCAAGACAGCTATTGCTGATTGCTCGGTGAATGGGACAGAGAAGCTGACGGAGGAGATTTGTAGCTTTGGTTGCTTAGATAGATTGGGATTTTGCGCGTGTGCGAAAATTGGAACTTGGGCTGCTCAGAAGTGAGATTGGGTTCAGGCTGAGGCTGGTGTTGGTGTGTGTTGGAGTCACATGAGGAAAGGAGGGAGCAGCGAGGACACAGTTTGTTGCTGCTAGGTTAATTTGTCCCAAAATATCCATTGTTACTGCCTTGTTGTTGCCTTACTCAGTTGAAGAAATATCTGCATGGAGCAGGAAAAGAGAAAGAAAAGAGTTGCCTTGGCTGATAAGCCATTGTTGAAAGTACTGTTGGCTGATTTGTTGTGAGAGAAAAATATTATTTGCTGGTTGAAAAAGTACAGCTTATAAGCCAAGCGAACAGGACGAATCGTTAGACTTATTGGCCCATCCAGAACTCCGTTTTTTTTCTTTTTCTTTAATTATTAATCATCGTCTCGTGTGTGTGCTAGGCTGCCAGCCAGCCTTTGCTTTTCTTGCACTTCTTGCCCTTTTCTTTACTGACATGTAGTTAGTAGTGTAGATATTTGAGAGCATGTTTGTTGCTTGTGCATGTGCAGAAGAAAATCATTGCCACCCTGTCACCAGGCTTCAGTTTTCATAGGATGATCCGCTATTATTGATCTCCATTGCTCATAAAACTACTCAACGCGGAAACAATTTTGACGGCAAACAAGTGTATTAAAAGTAAAAAAAACAATGAATTGGTGCACGTTACAATTTTCTCCAAATAATGAAGCCATCTATATACGATAATAAATTGTTCAACATTTTTTGTTCTGCGACCGAGGTTACTGATCGTTGGAAACCGAAGTTTCTAAAAACCAAAAACCAGACCGAAGTACACCAAATGCTCAGTCCTACGATTAGGTCTAAGCTATGTCTAATTGTTTATATATTTTTTGCCAAACAAATATTTAATTGTTTATTGGACTTGGTCGAGTTAACAGCTTTTCTCTACAGTTGCAAAGCATGGGCATATATATTTGCTAGTAACTTAAAAAGTAAAATGGATATACTTTTCTTCTTTCGTAAGACATGATGCCATTGGGCCTGTTCTTGTCCACTGCACTGTTTTAAGTGTCAACAAGTCTCCCACCAAACATTGCTTCGTTCGTCCTCTCAGTCGTCCTTGTTAGGATTGATCTCATCCGACTTAATCCATCGACTGAGTCGGACTCCTTGACCGTATCCTGATCAGGGACACACAACCGATCACTGGTCGGCGGGCTCCTGTCACGCAGCGCTATAAGGAGGTGAGGGCCGGGGCACTAGACACGAGGTTCGACACCGCCACTAACCCACCAAAGAAACCCTAGAAGGCCCCATCCGATCGCGGGCGCGCTGCAGTGGCAGGAAGCATCGTCGGACGCGTCGCCGTCCTCAGGACTTCACCGCGCCTACGCTGCTACGACACCGGCGGCCACGTCGCTGCGACACCATGGCCGCAACTACCCTAGGTCGAGGTACATCACCATGTTTCCCCGTCTAAGTCAAGATTATTCCCTGATCTACGTTTTAGAGGTACTATTTTCTGTCAATGGTACCAGAGCCAGGTTATCCTAGTGTGTAGATTGTAGATCGGGGTAGAAAAGTGAAACAGAATTAGAACCGAAACCCT